TGACTCTACTCCATGCAACAGGGCTAAAAAGGTTGGTAGTATTCATACACTATGCGATAGACGTGAATTTAAAATAAAATTTCACTTTACATATATTTGAAAGACATCTGAGGTTATATTTCATTGCTTCAGATGAAGGACTATCTTTGAAGGGGACCCCCAGTAGCACAGTGATATGTCTACAGACTTACAACGCTAGAAACCGGGTTTCGATACACGTGATGGGCAGAATACAGATAGCCCATTGTGTAGCTTTGTGCTTTACTTCAAACAAACAAATCTTTGAAGGGGAGAGGGTCAACAGGCCAGATCTCAACCCTATCAGAAACTGCTGGAAGGTAATGTGTAGCAAAGGACAAGAGAAGAAACCAAGAAGCACCTTGGAACTGCAGGAAGCCCAAATCCACGTGTGGCATCATAAACTCATCTCTGCCTACATTTAATACCTCATGTACTCTATACCAGGGTGATGTCAAGCAGTTATCAAGACAAGAGGGGCACAGCAGGAAATAGACTGTGTGACTTCTCTTTGTCAATTACATTAGTAACGTTACCTTTAAATGTAGGTTTTCTTACTTAAAGACCATTTTCACATTTGCCAAGTATTTGTTGGCCGTCTGCTGTAATATGTTTGTCACGGTTTGTTTGTTAATGAAGATGCATGAAGATAATTGGATGATTGAAATATTAGTCAGCTTACACCACACAATGTCCTCACCGTTTTACCCTAGTTCTGACACTCCCACAATGAACAATCTCGTAAAATATTACAGGAACCAAGAAAACTCTGAAAAAAATTTGGTGATGTAATAATTGTTTCCACCACTTATTTAAATCCACGATGTGGTATTTTTCTTTATATTCATATTTTACAGTTATCGAAATTCACGCAGTAATGCATCAACAGAAGTAGACGGCGTGTGAAAATCAATAACAACGATGTTTTAGTATACAATAGAAGATCCTAGAAACTTTTCATAGCCTATATGCGCCTGTTACAATTTTTTCATTAAAATGAAGTATCTATTTTGTATTTTATCGATTTCTGATTTTAGAGTAACAGACATTTGAGTCTAATATTAGTTAGGGGACATTTATAGGATGCTCTAAACAATAGATATTTTATAAAAGTTGAATTTTATTACATGATCTGTTCCCAACTAAGTCTTTACAGATTTCCAAATAACTTTCAACAAGAAAATTAATAAATTTAAAATAATGTTTTTATTTCATTGGCTGGAAATTTGTACATCAAATCAATGGTGAAACTTAATTATAGGTTCGAATTAGTGTATTATCCATTAATGCGTGTAAATATTTGGTTTCTCGTCTTGAAAGCACATAAAGTCTTGTAAAATTTTATATGCTGTACGATTACAAAAATAAAATAAAAAATAAGGCATCACCAAAATATACGACACTTTTATTCAGTTTCGGTTTTGAAATATAGTCATGTTTAGTTTCAACAGATGGCGCGCTTTTCAGAGAGAACTTCCGTGAATTTGTAAGTTTATGAAATATTCAAAACGTGACCACACACACACACACACAGTGATGCATGCTTACATCTTTTGTTTTATTTGCTTTCACTTGCCTTAAATATTGTCGTTACTAAGTCACACATACGTTCATTATTATAGACACGTTATATTACGATATCAGAGAGGGTTCATTGAAAAAATTTATAGTCATTATATAATCACAAAACTAACGTTTTCTGAGTTATGAAGGTACTGCACTCACACTCTGTAATTATTTGTTAGTTTCAACACGAAAACCGAGTTGAAACTCATCATAAATTGTTTCTTACTCTTAAGATAAAAGAAAGTGCTGATAAGTATAGTAGGTCAGGAAAGATTAAGTAGTAGCTATTGAATGATAGATTGAGCTTCGTATTAATGTTTAATGAAATGTGAGTGTACACACTTTGGGTTTCGTTTATGCTTAGAACAATTTAACACAAGACCACAGCTATTAAATATTAAGTTTAGAGAACGGGAAGAAAAATTTATATACCAAATATAATCCACTTCCGTAACCGGTTAAATATAGCTCAGTATTGTTGTCTGAATTTTCGAGAACAGCTTTCCCGCGCTTATAAAAACAGTCAACGCGATGCTCCAAAAAGAGAGCCTATTAGTCGTCCGCCATAAACAGTGTGATAAAAACTTCAAAAGTTTTTTATAACAGTCATCAATCTAAAAAATTAAGACATTTGACCAAGAACAGTTATAAATTTCGAATATCAGCGGATTCTCATCGTACGTTAGTATATTTCCGAAAATATTACATTATATTACATTAGTAGTTTTATGAAAACATTATCTTGCTTCAACGGACCAACAATTCGGTGTGGTGACCAATGAGACAAAGCTAGCTAGCTTCCCGGCAATCGTAAGTACATCGACTTGAAGTTACCTCGCAAGATATCAAGGGAATTCCAATCTAGAAGGAAGATTTGTATATTGTTTGTAAGTTAATGAAATTTTTGTTTATAAAACTTTGTTTGTAGTAAGTATTCGTAATAATTGTTGTTGTAAATTGTACTGCTGTACATATATTAAAACGCATTTGTGTTAAAAACGAAAATGGTGTGTATCAATCCTGTTGGCAAATATCGTAAATTAACTAAAATACCGGCATATATCTAGATACTAAATCCAGAATACGATTTAACTGTTAAATTTAAATTATTTAAATCGGCTTTGGATAATTTCAAATTCTCAATACGTAACATGTATCATATACACCAGCCTTTAATCTGTGCGACGGGTATTTCAGGTATACATATAATGCCGGCTTTTGTGTCTTCTGTTAGGTTTTGTATTTCGTGATTCTCGGAAGCAGGCTCACCATGAATGTTGACATAATTTTATTTTGGAACATGGTTAGCAGAATGAAAAATTTAAAACACTTTCACCGCCATGTATGCTAACTATTACAGCTTTAGTTCGGTTATTTTCAAACGGTACCTGGTCGTTTCCCTTTTAAACATAATTTTTACTCTTTGTTTTAGTTACATCCTGCTACATAAAGAGATTAGTCTGACCCAGAAATTTTTAAACCAAAATAGTTGGGTAAAAATATCTAACTGAAAATTTAACAAAATATTCCAACTTGTAACAACCCATGCACTGTCCCCAAATTTCTTCTCGTTATTTGTTTACCGTTCATGTGTTCTTAAAGTTTACTGATCAAAAAACAACTCTCCATATTAATAGAAAACATCCACCTCTATATTTAACATAGACGTATTTCTAGACAAAGTTTTCGAATTAAAAACCACCCTTCGCTTATTGATCATATACAAATAAACGTACATTGACTGTAAGGTCACATACATTGCCCAAACTAGAAAACCAGAGCCTATGAACACTCAGGGGTATTGAGTAGAGTTGTTTTTTACCTAGCAAAATATTGTCACCTAACAGTTCGATAACACAGAATAAACCACAAGCAATAATATATAAATTAAGAACTTTGCAATTATTACAACTCTATTTGCATATCTCGAACTTCTCATTAACGAAAGCCTTTTAATTACGAAAGACCATCCTGATATAAGTAAGGCATTTTTTCAGCTAAAACTTTTAATTAGTATAATGACAAAAAAGCACCAATTTGTAATTCATATTTCCTAAATTGTGACTTATGTATTATTATTATTATTCTATTCTATAGTTCGAATTTATTTTTAAACGTGTCTGCCTTACCGTTCACCAATGTTAATATTTTGATTGCATTCTTGAATATGCTTCATGGCTTACACATGTTAGTTCTTCCAAGTGTTTTCTAAATTTCATTTTCTCCATTATCATTAATATTTTATATAATTTATACATATACACATATATATATATATATGTCAGTAAACCTTTTTTCAGGCTTCGCACTTTGCTGAAGATAGAATAACTGTACTTTGACACGTTAGAAGAATCCTGTAAATAAAATGTTTTACTTCCTTAGTAGACTTCCCCCCCCCCAGAATAATCCATTATCACTTCATTACTGCTTCTAGGCGGAAATGATCCTCACTTACAATACGTTGAAATAAATCATTTCGTTATACAAATATGTCACAGTTACTCATACCTAATACAGTTACTTTTACATTTAATTATCTTTTGAATCATAAAGTCTGACAACATTGAATATTTCTCTGATGCATACAAGTTGTATTTTTATTTATTTTGTAAGTTTTTGTTTCTCCTTACTTAAAGTTTCACTGTATAACATTTATGGATAGATAATTCTCCCAGGGTCAGATTTGGTTTGATATACATAATACTTGATACTTATAATATAGCCCCCAGTGGTATAGCGGTATGTCTGCGGATTTACAACGCGAGAAAACCGGATTTCGATACCCGTGATGGGCAAAGCACAGATAGCCCATTGAGTAGCTTTGTGCTTAACTTCGAACAAACAACTACTTATAATAAATATAAAAAGCAACAAAAAATTCATGTTTTAATATCTCTGTATTTTTCTGAAATTTGAAAAGTTTGAGGAGAAACTACCCTTTATTCAAGGTTTTTATAAAAATTCCAACCTCACATGTGGTTAATGTCACACTTTCTAGTGTTAAAAGAAGAGTCAGGTAGTATGTTCTGTATATATGCTCATGGCAATACTCTAGAGAAGCATACATTTACTGGTAGTAGTAAATGAGTTAAAGTATAGAGTCTAAATAGATGATGGGGCTAAGTTGCTATGATCGTAAGTCTGTTCAGAAATTAACGATTGCAACGAAATTCATCATTATCAAATATTAGATGGTTTACTTGCAAAAGGAAATGATCTTTTCCTGAATCTTTTTTCTTTTCGCCTGCTAGTTTGTTTCCTTACTGTACTCTCAAGAGAACAAAGTACATGATAGTTACAGCAACATTCCGAAGTATGTCAACAAATAGTGGTCAAGCTAGTTATGGTAACTAGCCCAAAGCGGTATAATCAGAAAACAAGTTTTTACGTATTTCTGTCATTGGTTGAACGCTAAAGTACGGGTTGAACAGTCAACTGAAATTTAGTTTCAATTCCTTCGTTTAACAAGTTTGTGTTGATTGTTTCCGTCATGAATCCATATTTTTCTGCCTCATGTTGGATATTCATTCTTGCTACATCTCTGGTAATTATCAAGCATGTTTATTCTTAAGTTTTCCATGTTTTCTATTTATTGAATCTGTTATATGTCATGCAGGCGCGATAATCAGATGAATATTATAATAAATTACGTTGTTACTAATATTCTGGTATTCCTTATAGAAATGTATGAACATAAATTACAGAAATCTCGTTATTTTGTGGAAACTTTGCTAGTAAAAACCGTGTAAATATATATCACATGTAAAATTATAAAGACTAAACTCGGTTGTTTCCTGTACTAATACATATCTATTTTATGAGTTTTGTGTTTCCCTACACTTCTTAATTAGATTGACCATTTAGATACTCTACAAATGAATATATTAGTTGTTTTGGTCCCACATTTCGAAAGCGGCCACTTAAGCTCGTGTCATTGCTAAGCAACAACGACAACAACAACATAACTTTATTTCTAACTATTACTAGATAATATTCTAGCAAAAAGTACTATAACATTGTAGCTGGTTAGTTTGGTTGTTGTTAACCACAGAACTACACAATGGGCTGTCTGTGCTCTGTCCAATACGACATCGAAACCCCAATATTAGCGTCGTTAGGACTGAGACTTACTCCTGGGCTACTGGGCTTAAGGGTCAAAATTGTAGCACTCCAAGCTTTAGGAAAGTGCGATAAATAAAGGTGAGCAATTCTTACTTTAGTTTATAAAAACAACAACTATATACTAAAACTAAAATCAAAATTTAAAACATTATTTTAATAATTTTTCACAATTAAATTTTTAAAATAAATATCTCTTGATAATGAACAGGTAAAATCGACATTTTACGATCACTTCCTCAAACTAAACATCAAAAAAGTTCCCGTACATAAGATGTAAAAATTCTAGAATCTGCAAACGACTTTATTGTTGTAAACATGTGGTTGTTTTTAATAATTTTATACATATATTATCTTTCTTAAGTGTTTACATTTTAGACTTAAAATAAGTTTCTGTTCTCATGTGATTTTAATGAGCAACTACGATATTAGAGTAAATAGTGCCAACCACACTATAAAGATATCTCTGATATCCAATGCCTCTAAGGCTCTTCAGGGATACGAAAAACATATTGGTTGAGACGCTATTTATATTAACAAAAATCGCTTGACAACAGCTGTTACGGTGTGAACTGGAATGTAAAAGTTCCATTTACTTACACATATAATAATGTTTTGACATTTAAAAAAATTCTATTTTGTATAATTGTCAGCACATGGCAAATTAATTTAAGAACACGAAATATTTATCTAAATACGCTATGAATAAGTTCTATATTGAGTCTTGGGGACTATTTTTTAAATTCGTCGAGTTAATATTAATTGCAACAAAAATAAATGATTATAAGCACTTTTAGTGCTTATCATGATATCCATTTTTAGACAATGACATCATGTGAATATCAAACTGACAAAATGCATCCACGCAGCCAAAGAGAAGGAGCTTATGGAGTGGATCTAAGCTACTAACTAGTTTCCGTTTCTGAGCTTATAAGTGCTGCGTGTTTGAGTAATTTACTTAAAGGAATGGAAATTGAAATAAGTGTTCATAAATAAATATGGTTTTAACTTCTCCTTATATGTATGATTTTTATAGATGTCTTAGACTCACGAAAGTTATTGTTGTAGCCTCGTCTTATTCTTTCTTTTTGACTTCGTCCAGAGTTACAGATAGAGGGTGGCATTCCTCAAAACTGGTATACTTCAGTGATAAGTGGTAAATGGAGACAAGGGCTTCACATTTAGTTTTAGAATTTAATAACTTATACTTGTATATTTGAGCTTATTATGACGAGCTGACATGGCCTGGAGGTTAGGGCGCTCGACTCTCAATCTATAGGTTGCGAGTTCGAATCCTGTCATCGAATATGCTTACACTTTCAACTCCGGGGGTGTCATAAGTGACGGTCATCCACATTTCGTTGGCAAAAGAGTTAGCGTTGGGTGCTGTTGACTAGCTGCATTCTCTCTAATCTGTTATTTCTAAAACAGGGACAGCTAGCGCGGATAGTCCTCGAATAATGAAAATTGGCACAAAGTGAAATACAAAAATGCACAATATTTATAAATAGTAAACACGAAAACAGTGTGTGTGTATCTGTTTCAGAATACCATGGATTGTTGCTTGTACTGGATGCTCTCAGTGGCCTACTCTTCAAGACCTTGTCCGAGACTGTCTAAGTGCAACGTTCCTTAAAAAAAACCTTGTCTTTACCCAGAGTCTAGTGCTACCACATGACTGGTCATTCACATTTTGAAATAGGTGGGACTTTGATCAATAAATATCACTTGAGCTACAATCGAAAGACAATGCTTCTGACATCCTTGCACAACGTGCAGTTTTGCAGCAATATAGCACCCAGAAAAAAAATGCAGAGCAGGTATTAACTCCAGAAAATAGCAAAGAAACAAAGGCAACTAGAACAAAACGAACTTATCCATTTTCTCGACTATATTTTATGTAAAGCCTGCAAATATACATGATAAATGATAAATCCACAATAAATAATATAATATTTTAAAAAATCGACAGAAATGGGTGGTATATTCATATGCCACACATATTTGTCGACAGGGAATTTTCGTACATGACTTAATGTAGATTCCTTTATTTCCTTGGCTTCATCATGTCTGAATGAATAGCTATGGCTTGGGCTAAAGCCAGTGTGGTCTGATCCAGCTCTGTCTGCAGCTGGAAGATTCTTCCACTAATGCAGAAGGTGGCACTAAGCACCATCGAAGATAACATTCTTCTTAGTTATACAAGATTCAGGCCTATATAAATTGGCCTTCCATTTCTTGCTAATGTCATTTTAGGACCTGAATCTGCACTTAAGTCGGGACAATTGCAGTGGGTGGGGTCTTGAATAAATCGACTTTTTTGGTAGAAGCTGCTTGGTAGACGATGCTGGTAGAATCAATGCAGACATTGAGGTCATAGCAACTGCATGGCCTCCTTGTGGTGGTGTGCACTGAAATCACTGCTGTAGATGGTGCTGGTCAAGCATCGCCTTACTTAATCTTCTTTTCCCATCACTCAGCAATTACTCGAGATAACCTTAACTCAGGGAAGGGTCTTCCTCAGCATTGGAATGTAGTGATTCTGATGGAGTGGATGCACATTTTGTGCCTAAGCCCCCTATCAGTAGATACCTTCCAACAAGATTCCTAAGGAGATGTTCCCTATGCTAAGACATCTGCCATTTTTTCTGCTGATGTTGTGGCAACTGGTAGCAGTAGCTGAGCCACTGACAGACTCGCTCAAAAGGTATGGAGGTGCTGCTCAGTGATGTAGTCTTTAGGACTGATGGAGTCACTCCATCTGATGAAATGTTTGGCTCTGTGGATGAGTCTACTGCTAACGGGGGTTGGTGGGACCCTGGATACCTTAAAAATAGCCTGACAACCAATTTGGCTAGGTTCCAAACATCTGATGTGTTGGCCGACAATTTATCCTCATCCATGGGTTCTACCAGGTGGAAATTCAGTTCAATTTCGCACAACTTTGGATTGGCCAGGAAGACCAGATCCTTGCTAAAAATACGTTCTGATTGACATAACCTTCTTGTTCATGGTAATTTATTGAAAATTGAGGTTTTAGCACACTATTGTGTGCTATTTCTCAACATTTTGTCGATAGCTCTATAATATTCGTTCCTCGCTATTGATATACAAAATCATGTACATCATTTATCAGAGACCTTATCTTCTCCACACATCCCTGTGGTCAATGTAAGACATCCACTCTAGGTGTATGGTGATACACCATTTCTACACAGAGCAAGACGTTTTGGTTGAACATGAGCACATTTGGGGATCAATCTTTTTATCTCTGTTCAGTTGTGTGGTACAACATCATGACATAGGATAAATGTCATCCCAATCAGTTTGGTTAGGGTTAACAAACGTAGCAAACATATGCTTGACAGTCTGTTTCAACCCTTTCACCAAACTATTGGGCTGGGTGGATAAATGAAGTGTACATCATTGCCCCAACCTCTGATTTACACAACTCAGAAAACACTGGACTGTTACAGCTAGTTCCCTGATTTATGTGAATTTCTTTAGATGTTCTGAACCTGGTTATCAAGTTCTCTGCCAATGCATCAGCCACGGACTGTATAGAAGTATTGGCCAATGGATAAGCCTTGACCTACTTTGTGAAGTAGTCAATGGCCACAAGTATATACAAATGATCTTTTTCTGTCTCCAGGTGTGGTCTAGCAATATCTAGAGCTATTCTTCGCACAGCAGAACCAACAATTCTTTGCTTTTTCTCTGGATGGTACACACCATAAAGAATTCATATTAGTGTTGAACACCTCGACTGGAAAATGTCCAGAAGAACCGCCACTGAATGTTAACTTAAGGCATGTAACAAAGTACCACCATTGAATGCTAACACAAGGCAAGTAACACCTTGGTATCCTTCAGCCTTGGTGTTATGCAAATTCTGGTGAATCTCATGACTCATAGTTCTGGGCAACACTAACTGCAACACAGGTGTAGAACCACTGCTTGAGGGTTACTAACAACAGCATAGCACACTTTCGTAGACTCAAAACTGCTTAAATAACTGCCACATGTTAGATGTGTTTGCATTAGGTTTCTAAATCCGATTCAATCATGCTTTACTCTGTTGTGTAGCAAGGAGTTCCCCAGTTAGTCTGGTACCTTCAGTTGCTATTTACAGAAATCAAAAAGTGCTAATCATGGCATCCATTCACTTGTAGAATCTCCATTTGTCTGTCTTTGGATTATTATGCAGAAATGATCTGAACTGTGTCTAGGATCCAAACATTCAATGAACAGAAAAGGTTCCACTGTTCAGCAAGTCTATCAGTCTGTGTTTCTATGTTGTGGACCAAGGCATTAATGTATAATCAAATCACACTCTTCCAATGCTGTTATCCAGAACATTATAATTCGTTTAGGGTTTTAAACCTAAGCAACAAATTCAGTGATTCATGCTCCACTCAAAACGTA